CCTAAAAATCAGTTACGTATCGGTGTTTGAAAATTTCATTCATAACTTATCATATGACATAATATGAGATGGAAAGTCAATGCACGAAACAAAGATAATTTTAATAGTAAATATTAGCGATCGTGTAATTTTGAATGATTGCTATTGCCATTGATAATCACAAAGCTTTTATTTTCGTATGCATTTACAAAAATGTAACAATGCAATCAAATTCTTTTTGATTGTTAAATTTTACGGGTCTTGCTGTAAACAAAGTTTTGGTTCCCAAATTTTTGCATTAACAAATATAATAAGCATAAGATGAAAATTTAACGCAATAATTTCAAACTATTTAGAAGTTAATCTGAAAATTTATAATCTAAAAATTGTTTATATCTTTTACAAAAGATTGCTTGTATGTTATGTGCTATGATTGCTTGTATGTTACTTGCTATGATTGATAGTAAAAAAAATCCCGATATTAGAGTTTTGATTATTACTAATATATTGCTTGTAGAGAATACTGATAGTGTATAAACTTACCAAATTATTTATTGCCAATAAAAGGTATTTGAATTTCGTCCATTCCATGTATTTCTTGCTGTTTTGGCATTTTCGAATTTTTCTAAATCCTCAACCATTTTTTTTATAGGATTAAAATTTTTTTCAACTGAATCTAACCATTTCTCTTGCTGAGGAAGAGCAGATGACTTTTCTATAAAACTTATAGCCTATAAAAAAACAAAAAAAAAATTATTTATTAATATAAGATGCAAATTATATATATATTATTACCTTTTCGAGTACTATTTTAAGTTCGATATCTTTATTCGTCGTAATATCTATGTCACTACTATTGTCAACACTGCTTAAATAATTATCGTTATCATTTAAATTCAATTCATATTCAGTTTCCTCGCTTTCCTCATCATTTAAAACTATGATTTCATTTGGCCTGTATCGTGAACTATTAAAAATAGATTTCCAAATTGATTGACGTGCTTCATAAATAAATGGATACTTGTTATTCCGTTGTACTAAATTAAAAAAAGAATTTTCCATATCTCCTAATGGCATGACAAGGTGCTTACAAAGAAAAAAGCGGCTTTTAAGGAATGATGGGCATGAACAAACCCAACAATTATGAACTGTAAGATACTTGTTAGAATTATTGGTTTTTTGAGTTAAAAGTTTTTTCCATTCATGTTTGAAATCTTTCCGCCAAGGAGGCTGAATTCGTTCAGTAATGAGAAGATCATATCGATGCAATAATTTTGGAAGCATTCTGTTAGCTATTACATTACAAAGTACATCTAAACGTGGACGATTAAATTTGTATAAGAAATCGTGTTTCAGAATCCTCCAATGGGACTCCACAATCATTGTCGTATAAATAATTGAAGCAGTTTTGTGTGCTGAAAGTGCCCAAAGACACCAGCGTTCCCAGCGGTACCATTCTAACCATAAGTAGCTCCAAACATGAAATAAATCATATCGGTAACAATATTGAAATATTTCATTAACAGCTTGCATCCAAATTTCATTTGGTGTTGATATAAATTCCTTATCTATTGTTGGAATTAACATATGACGATGATAGTGTGTATTTATAAATTCCAATATTTCTTTTCGTAATGGTAATTCTAAAAAAATTTTTCTGGAATTTATATCTTCTCTATTATGAGATTTCCATGTTGGATCAACTACGGCACACTGTTGATATGCAAGAATAGGATTATAATATGATATTCTATTTTTATATTTTGATGAAAGCTTTTGCTCAACTGCACGCTATATGTGCCACTTACAAAGCTGCACCTCTGCGTCTTTCCAAACTGTCAATCCACTACTTATCTGTGCAAAATCCTTATCGGAAAGGATTATCTTTACTTCTGTAAGACCATGGTTATACAAAGATCTAAACCATGTAGTAATAGCTGCACGAATGTCCCTCCCTTTTCCATTTTCAATAAAACAGTAAGATATTGGAAATCCTGTTCCATCTATTATAGCCATAACTGCGTAAAGTTCATACTTTAAGTTATTAGTATTATATGTTGCATCAACCATAATAGTTTCAAATGCTTCACGTGGCAATTTATTAAAAAATAATGTTAAAAAGCCCAAGATACGTGTTGATGCATTTACTTCAGCCAAAATTTCATATCCTTTTTCAGCTAAAAGTAATTTTGCCGATTCATACTGATCATCATGTCTTCGAAACAGTTTTGATGCTTCATGTGTCCACCAGAAATATACTTGATCTACAGTTAAAGTCTCATATCCACAAAGTTCTTTAGATACGATAATTCTATGAAGCTCAGATGCTCTTTGTACTAAATTTTCGCGAATAAATTGCTTAATATCTTCTGTTACGCCAATATGCCTTGGTCTTTAGTGAAGTTGTTTATGCCGTAATTTTACATTTGCGAGATTATTGTTCAAGTTTATATCAACAGAGAGAAGACCTTCACATGCATATCGTATAAGATGTGGCTCTTTATTTCGTTGTTTTGACATATTAACATGTTTTGAACGCTTTGAAATAAGCTCTTTACGACAATTACACCAGTAATTAAAAGACTTTTTTTTTTGCGAGACCGTTTTTGCATGATAAACATAATTGTAACCATCACCTTGTTCGATATATTTAACTATTTTGTTTGCAAGAAATTGTTCACGTTGATCATATGATATGTTTGATGTAATTTCTTCAACAAGTGTATCTAAATTAATTGTTATCTCTATATAAAACGCCTGATCACTTTCTAAACAATCATCAATGCCATCCATATTTAATAGAGCCATATGAACTGTGTCTGTAACATTTTCAATGTCAATGGCATTTTCTTCAGCATCAAGTAGGGCTAAAGTAGCAATTTCTTTACGTTTTCGCTTTTTACTTTCTTTAACCCGTGTTAAACAAGTAACGCAAGTAATATTTTCTTGAAAATCCTCCAATGCTTTGTACTTTCGACATGATGTACAATAATGTAAATCCATTAATGTTAGTAACTTCTTTTGAGTCGATTAGAATCCAAAATAAAAAAAATTTTACATAAAAAAAAAATTACTAATATGTATCGCAAAAGAAAAATATTACGAAATTATTATACAATTACAAATCAAAATTACAAATCAAAATTATTACGCAAGCAAAAATTCGGAGTTAAATTAAATATTGAGCTCTAAAACGTAACTGATCTTTAGGGTGATACTAGGTTCGTC